TGCCCAGTAACGAAATACCAACTTTCATGCAAGCCCCAGTTTCACATACAAACATGCGAAAGTGTTAACGGGAAAACTGCTAACTCAGGAACCAGGTAAAACAGGAAACTAAAATTTCAGGGGAATATTTTCCGCCTACAAGCAATGCACACTTCAAAATTCTGAAGTGAAACTTTTCAACTGTAAAGCAAAAACCATTCATACTGTTAACGATCCGACTGCTTTAAGTTTCCCGTGAAAACGTATGATCTTACCGGCAAGTCCGGTGTGACGCAACCTGTGTTTTAAACTGGGGGCTTGCAAGTGTTAGCTGTAGATTAATTTGCCAAAATTTCAGCTACACAGCTTTCACAAATCCAGTATGGACATCTGTGAATAGATTAACATACATACATCCACACGCACACATACACAAACACACACACACACAATGTGTACACATCCACACATAAACATACTATATACACATACTACACACATATACACACACATATACACACACACACACACGCACACACATAAGCAGACCCTCCACAGTATGCATTTTCGCACTGCACAAATGCAAAGAAAAAACTCATAAAATCACATACAAATGACTTTCGAGTACAGTCAAAGACTTTTCCATTGGATTAGGCATATCAAACAGAAAGTGACCATCCCATAAACTTTACAGTTGCGATATACCTTTTGTTTCTAACAAAATATGAGACTATGAGCGATTTTGAATAAAATTTCCTGCTAAAATATCCCAATTTTCTTTCACAAAAAAAACACGTATTGCTGCTCCAGAAGGCTTATCATTTTCAGTAGAAAAAAAAAAAAATAAAGTTTAAATGACAATAAAACAATAAACCGAGAACGTGCTCAGTTTTCTGAGTTGGGCTTTGCAGTTTCCTCCTTTTCATTGTTTTCCTGTTGCTTTTCATCATTTACATTACCGGTACTGGATAGGCTGCTTACCATGGCAGATTGAGATCGGGCTTGTCCCGCTGAAAAATACAAAATATTCATAAAATTAATATCAAAATTTCATGATAAATTCTCAGTATGAAATAGTAGAATGAAAGGATTGGTCTTAAGTGGATCCGTCTATGATCACGATTTCGATGTGGAGCTGCCGATATTTTCGAAATACGCGCTACGCCAAATCCCTCATCTCGGCGCCCTACCAGAAGTAGCTGTACAAAGTTTTCGCAATTCAAAGAAAATACTACCCTCCCACTCCCCCCAAGCACTTATATTTCGTGGTATGAACAAACATTCATATCAATGATACGAGGAAATTTGTTAATATCACGGCTAACCTTGTCCTCTGAGTGCATTGGCTTCCGCAACAATAACATCAATCAGCGTTTGCAGGTACTCTGAAACAGCGGACATCTGTCCAAGTTCAAAAGTTTTCGAAGTTTTCAACTTTTTCCTACCAAAACGCAAAAACTTCAAAACTTTGACACTCCGAACAGCTGTAGTTTATTAGCTGCTTCTGCAGTTAGAACTTTTCCAATTGCTTTTGCTAAAATTTTCTGGTGGTCAGCCTGGCGACAGTCCAACATCAATTTTTATCTTTTCCTCCTCTTTTTAACTGCGCTATAGCATTTTCTGCAACCGTCGCAATACTTCTACTTCCAATACTTTTGTTGCAACCGTCATACTAACAAGCTCCAGTTGCAGTAATGAATGGGAATGTATACGACTTAATGGACCGAAACGTTCCAATTCAGTTATTACTTTCTTTCAGTTATTATGTCTTTTCTATCTCAAACGGCCAAGAAACCATTTAAATGCAAAAAAAAACTGATTCTGCAAAAACTTGCTACATTATTTTGGCAAAAACTGCACAGAATCCTTTTAGTTACAACCTTTTTCATAACTTTATAAAATACTCATATTCGTCTAGTCAATTCAAGGGGTTTACTTTTTAGACGGCCCTCTCAACAGGCACGATTTAGCAAAGTTTTATTATCCCGATTTCCGATGTTCTCTCAAAATTTCCATCCCTAAATATGTATTTAGCTATGGCTCCTGTTATACATAAAATACTTAGTATTCAAAAAGTTGCCGCTTATTTTATGGCACATTCACAGCTAGACACAGTTACGCCAGACAGAGTTTAACAGCACAGAGGGCGAATACAGGAGAAATTTTTGATTCTCTGTCTTTCAACAGTTTAATAGGGTTTCAAAAAAACGTGCAAAAAATAGAAACTACGTCTTTTCTAAATCAAAAGGTCAAAAAACCATTTAAATGCAAAAATACCTAATTTTGCAAAAATCTCTCACGTGAGTTTGCAAAAACTGCACAAAATTTAGCCTGTGGATAAGAAATCAAAATAAACTACGAAACAAAATGACGTTTAGAAACAAAAAAAAACCGAGACAAGCTAACTTTCGACAAAATGTTGGCAAAAAATATGAAAGACCCCAAAAAAAAAATCCCCAAAAACGAGGTATCTGAGCCAGCAATCGCCATTCTGACAAAAAAAATGCCCTCTTAATCACAAGGCGTCCAATTCCCCAAACATCTCCTGCCAACGTGAAACACGTCACTGCCAAAAAAATATAGGCTTTTTTTTCAAATATTTGAAAAATCAGCAAAATCTAACTTTTCATGTTAAAATAATCGTCCCATGTTGTGATTGGTGAGTTGAGAATATCTTCAAGCTGTACAATTGCTTGCAAAATCAATCGGATTTTGCAGTCCAAAGCACCACCGTCCATTGGAACATGCATCCATTCGGCCAATGATTTCTCCACGTACTCTTTTTCCGAGATCCACAGCACATGATCATACTGGGTTTTCACTTTATCCAGCACTGGTGGGCCACTCAATGATGTTTCTCGTCGATATGCTACCTAAAAAATTCATTATATTCAAATAGAAAGGGAAGAAAGGGTCCCATGGAGGCAATCAGTGGTTCACTGAGGTTCAAATGCCGAACCATAGCCCTCTGGCTTACATCGACTACGAGAAAGAGCACAATGTTGAACCATCTGGTGATCAAATTTTTATAACATTACTAAAAGAAAAAACAGAAGCTGCCACAGAATTACGTCCCAAAATCGCTATTTTTATGCGCCATTCACAAGTTTATCCTTTCAAAATACCTCTGAAAAGACAAGGAACGATAATTCGGATCAACACGAACTAAGAATGATGTTTAATCTCGTTATTTGAAGAATAAAAAATTTTAGAAAAAAGAAAAGCTTCTGCTTATCTTGCTCCGGAAAAAAAAGAGGACGCGCCATAGCCGAATGACTAAGGTTATTGTACAGGAAGTTAATAAAGCACAGTAATCCTGAGCAATCTTAAGCAGCCTTAGTGATACTGCTGCCAATCCCCCTTGTAGAAATTTCGATTAGTGCAAAAAAAAAAAAAAATAATTGGCCAGCGCACTGACTGCCGACACAAAGATGCATTTTTTGCGCAGTTCCCCGCTGGTTTCTGTCGCTAACGACACTGTTTTTCCGGCAGATGCTTCTAGCTAAAAGAATTGAGACTGGCCACCAGCTTTCTAGCTTTTCTGGCTCCCGATTTAGCAACTTACCTGTGAAAAATTTTTACGGACCCACACGTGGGAACCAAAAGCATCTGGAGGTTGGGCTTGAAATCATTAAATTCTACGTGGACGGGAAACATCCTCTTAAAATTCCGGCTTTCTAACTTTTCAAGCTCCCGAGCTAGCAATTTGCTCGCAAAAAACTTTCACGGACCCGTAGGAACTACGTGGGCAAGAGTGTCCATTTTGGAGATAGGAACCCGAACATGCATGCAGATTAACTTCTCAAAGTTTCAGCCTTACAGCTTTTGTAGATCTTGAGATGAAAAATCGGCACACACACACACGCACACACACACACGCACACATACACACACACAAACACACTGACAACGCCTCGACAATATGCGTTTTTGCATTGCATAGATGCAAAAAAAGCACAAAAAACAAATGCTGATATGTAAAAAATATAAATGCAGTCTTCGCTTCACTGAGGGATTAGATCTCTGTCGCATTAAAATTATACTCTATGAAAGATGGGGAAAACTCTAAATAAATGCAAGCGATGGAATTTGACCAGCTGCAACCATTATTGGCAAACCCAATTCATTCACTCTTCCAAAGTTTTCTTAACAGACAAACTATAAATGTCTCTAGAATTACATATTTTAATCTTACGCATTTATAAAATCCTAATAGAGGATGTCTAATAAGCCCGAGAAGCTTTTCTGACTTACCTGTCTCCATGGACCACAATCTCCGCTCCTGCCCTGTTGATTCATGGATATGATGGCTTGCAAACTTGATGGATCCATATTGGGAAAAGTGCTGCTAGAGTCTCTTGAAGTTAAGGCTGAACTGGAGGCAAGCAGCGCATCGTTCTGATTCTTCAAGCTTTCGGCAGATTGATGAGAAGCATTGCGCAACTTTTCCTTTTGCTGAAAATAACTCAGTGCTTCGAGCATTTTTTTTTTCACCGCGCATCAATTCCTGGTTTATTTTAGGAGTATCTGCATGCCCGAACTTTATAACGGATCATGCGTTTTTGCAGTATTTCGTGCAATAATGAGGTCGCTCGGAAACCCAGTAGCTAGAATATGTGAAATACTAGTGCTCGAAGCTCGGAAAATTGATTATTAGAATTTCAGCTTTCGAGTTCTCCTAGCTCCCGAGTTAGCCATTTTTCCGCCAAAAATTTCCACAGGCAGTGCATGGGAACCATGCACAGAGAGGGGCTAAACTTAACAACTTTAGATCTAACGGAATTTGTCATTGACTTTTCAATTATCTGCTTTTAAAAGATTAATTTGATCACTTTAGCTAAATTCTGTCTTTTTTGGGAGGAAACTCTGTTTTTTCTCCAGCTGTCTTCCCTTTTGGCATCTATGCCCCACTGCCCTCTTCTGCCATCGTTCTGCTCCATTCTGTTCAATTTCCGACTTTTTTCAAAAACGATTTTAGCGTCGTTGCCAAAGCTATGTACCATTTTTTTTGTCTTAGGTTGCCAGTGGCATAATTTTACTTTAAAAAAAATTTAACTGACCTGATCGAATTCAGAATCTATAGCTGGCTGTTCGCCCACTTGTTGGTCTTGTGCAGCAGCAGAATTGATTTCTTTGTCAGTAACCTGCAAGGCAATCAAAAATAAAAAAAGAACAAATGAGGAAGAAACTCCATATATTTCGTTTTATGTTAATTCTGATTCCTCTATCCTAATCATATTTTCTTAAATTAATCAATGGAATACTGCCACGATTCGCTGCACATCTCTATGATCTTCGCAAAAACAAAACGACATAAATTTGCTCTTCGTTGATGGACACAGCGTAAGAAGCTAGCGATAATTTCATGCTAAGAGTGGTGGGATCAATTTTATCAGTGTGACTAATGCCACAATTTTTGCCATAAAGATAAATTTAACCGACCTGATCGAATTCAAGAGCAAAAGCTAGCTGCTCGACTGGTTGTTCATCATATTGTGTAGGAGTAGAACTGTTTTCTTCATCAGTAACCTGCAAAGTAGTCAAAAATAACAGAACTGGCCTCTTTACGACCTGTTTTTTCGTCTGGCTATAAAAGTGGCGACAACTCATCATAAGCCGCCGCAAAGGAAGAAAAAATAAAAGGTGCATTCTGCCTTGAAAGGCAAATACACAGTAGATGTGCTGCCAGCTGAGCGTAGAGCACAAGGACCGATGGTGTAGTGGTAACACATTGCGTCTAGGCGTGAAGGGGAGTGGTTCGACTCCCTCCCGAGCCAGAACAATTTTCGAAAAAGGCTCCGTTCGCGACAGATGTTTCTGAAAAATCTTTGGAAGACAAAGCCACTAACAGCCTTACCAATGCAAAATTATTACGGTAAAGTGTTACCTCTGTGCCCAATTCCATGCGCCTTTGTTTTCCAGAAAAAGTAAATTATGAGGATTTTTGACT